TGAGAATAGCAAATAAGATGGTGTTTTGACCAGGTGCAGTGGCTCACCCAGCACTTTGGGAGGCGGAGGTGAGAGGACTGCCTGAGCCCAGGGGTTTGAGACCAGCCTGGACAATTTGACGAGACCTCATCTCTGCAATAAATCAACGATTTAGCCAGGCATGGTGGTGCATGCCTGTAATTAATTCCAGCTTCTTGGAAGGCTGAGGGGGAAGGGTCACCTGAGACCAGCAGGTCGAGACTGTGGTAGCTAGTTATGAGTATGCCCTGCACTCCAGGCTGGGTGACAGAGTTAGACTCTGACTCAAAAAAAAAAATAGGATAGTAGGATGGTGTTTGGGTATGTGTTGATAACTCTAGAAAATCTTTTGGGTTTTTAAAATTTTTATTGATTGATTGATTGATTGATTGATTTTAGAGATGAGGTCTTGCTATATATAGCCCAGGCTGGTCTCAAATTCCTGGGCTCGAGCAATCCTCCCACCTCGACCTTCCAAAATGCTGGGATTACAGGCGTGAGCCACTATGCTCGGCAACAAGGTTTTTATGGACTTTCTGAATCTCCTATTTAGACTATTTCAAGTTCTGCAGTTTTCCGTAATCTCTTTCAGTGCCAAGTCTCTTGTGTTCTTTTCATCCCCTTTACTCTATTTTTATGTGTTTTCATCTCTTTTTTTTACCTTTTTCCCAATGAAGAAATACATTTGTTCTGTTAATATTATGCTGCCGTCTCTGCTATTTAGAAACTAATTCACTCAAGTACTGTCCAGAACCATTCTTGTTTAGGTGGGGGGAACTAATTCCACTTTCAGTTCTTTCCTGGGATCGGTGTTAAGGTGGAAGTTTACCTGGACAGCAACCGTGATGTTTGTAGATATTCCACATGTGACCCCCAACCACCACCGTGACACAGAACATATTTTGTATTTTCCATGGTTCTTTGGTCCATCCGATAGATACTGTCATATGTTTCCTTCACAGTGCATATTATCCTTGGTTTTTCTCCGACTATTGTTTGTTTTTACAGTTTTTTTTCCCTTTGGAGTACCCAAGTCAGCATTAATAGGACCACTGCAGTCTTCAAATAAGTCAAGAGAAAATTGAGGTGCACTGCAAATTAGGCCTCTCCGCTTGACAGTTCCATCAAAACTGCTGAATTTTTTCCCCTCAATTTCACATGGAACAAAGAACAGTAATAAAAACCACAAGATTCTATTGTTTTACTAAATATGTAGTTTTTGAATTCTTTAAAAGACTGTAAAGTACCTGTTATAAATGTTTGAATTCTACATATTGATACACATTCCAGCACACTTTGGATTGGAAGAACTCCCAAGTCCTAGACTAGAAATGTGGTTGTAATACTTCAACGTTTCATTATTCAGAGCCTACAGCATAAACTGTGAGCATGAAGAGTGTGGCCATAAACCCATAGAGCTTGCCAAGATGTCCCAAAGACTTGCAGCTTGCTCTAAGATGAATTTTTCCCTCATCCAGGCTTCTGGGACATGACTTATTTCATTCTTGGGTGTGTGTGTATGTGTGTGTACGTGTGTGTGTACATGTGTGTGTGTGTGTGTATGTGTGTACATAGGAAGTCACTTCTCATTTTCTTAAAGCTGAAAGGGCTCCTGCCTTCCCAGCAGGGAGCTAAAGATTGGATCCTTTCCTGCTGAAAGCCATAATTTGACTCTTCCTTTTCTGGTTCTCCTTACCTAGGAAAAATTACATATGGACAAAATATACCTTCTACATTAAACTTATATAGTTTCTCTATTTACTAATTGTGTATGAGTTAATTGGTTTTATAGAAACTTATGTAGCTTTAAAAAGCTTTGTATCCTTTTTTTTCTTTTTTTTTTGAGTTGGAATCTTACTCTGTTGCCCAGACTGGAGTGCAGTGGCCAC